ATACCTATACTATAACACGTCACTGCCGCCTTCGTTATTGTAGTTATATTATAATAATATTTAGGCATTGCGCACGCGAGTGTACAGACGTTTGTCGTCGTCATCGTTGTTGTTGTTGTTGTTGTTGTTATCGTTGTTGTCGTTGTTGTAGTTGTATAGTTATAATATTATTGTACGCTATCTTTCGTTGCCGGGTCATTTACCCAAATATAGTAATACAAGGTGAAAAAACTTGTAAACCCGAACGCGCTCGAGTGAGTGTGTGTGTGTGTGTGTGTGTGTGTGTGTGTGTGTGTGCGTGAATAATATAATGCGACCCGGCGATTGGACGGTATCACTGACGGGGATCTGAAATTCAACAATAAAAACCGTCCGGCAGGAATACACATTCGGCCGCGATTTCGATCAGCGATAGTCATCAGAGTATAAAATGGCAGTCGGCTGAATATAAATTGACTAGATTTCAATCTGCGATAATCGTCGAAAACCGACTGCGCGTATATATATATATTTATATTTATATATATATGGTTATATGGCGGAATGAAACGAGCGCTGGGCAGATTTTAATCAAGTGGAGATAAACATCACAGCCGAGTTTCGCGGTGGCGGCATATAGTGGGTGGGTGAGGGACATCAGACGATTTGATCTTAAAACGAAAAACAAAAACTACTTTAGTAAAAAATATCTGCGGCGTACGAATATTTATATAGTAATAACAACGAGATATGTACCTAATAAGCATTGCCAGCACTACTGATTTGCAAAAGTAAGTAGTACAATTTATAAAAGTAAGCCCCCCTCCCTCTCAAAACCAATTAAAATGTGCGAGGCCCCTCGAGCCCGCGCAACGGCTCTTCAGTAATAAATAATAACTTACATAGGTACCCAAACTATATTTAAATAAGTTGCACTCGTTGCGAATTTCCGATGCACGTGTCACAAAACTACCCTTGCGCAAAAGCATAGGCGTAGAATGGAGGGGGCTAAGGGTGCTATAGCCCCCGAGAACTCCATTAAGCCCCCCGGAAATCTGTTTAGCCCCCTGTGTAAGAGTTTACTGTCTTATACATCAAAAAATGTTCTATTTATATAGCGAATAAAAACATGGCTTAGAAATTCTATAACTAACGACAGATTTTTAAATCTATAATAATTTAAAAATAAATTACTAAGAAGAAATAGTCAGTATATAGGTACAATACGATATTCTTAAAAAAAATATAGGCTGATGCATTTGGCGCAGTTTTGCGTTCAGAATCGTCTTTCATCTTATACAATGGTTTATCATTGAATTCAAAATTTAAAACATCCATTATAGTGACCTACTATTGTATAGCAAAGTGACTTTCTTTTATTTTTATTTTTTGTTTGAAGAAACTTATCCAGAAAAGCGTTTCCACAACATCAATGTTCGAAAAAATCTGTTTGCATGTTCTTACAGCGATTTTAACTATTGATTCTCTACCTTTGGATACAGGTTCATTATTCAAGAATAATAAAGTGAACATTTAAATTAATTTGACTATCTAGTTTAAGTATACAGGTACCTAAAGTAAAAATACATGGAATTCTAATAATTGTAAATCTACCAGGCTGTTTAAACTTCCACCTCTTTCAAGACAACACAATTTTACTTAGAACAAGAATATTTCTAAATATAATAATAGCATACACATCTTGTTATAGATTGGTAAGAAATAAATTATAATATTAATGCTATTCGTATGTTATGTGCATTTTAATTACATATGTGTCAAATGACAATGTTCTGAATACAATTATTTTAATGTATAGTGCCACATTGTATAGGTACTCTGTATCGGTTTTTGAGAGGAAATTTTTGCTTTTACCTCTCCACGCCTCCTCCCCGGAAATTCACGAGACGCTCAACGATCAAAATATATAATAGTGTATACAATATATTATAACCGCATCGCCGCTTTTGCCCTGCGCCGTTTCGGGGTCAGCGATTCAGTCGAAAACTGAGGGAAAAAAATTCGAAATCACATCAGACAAATATAAAAAAAAATAACCACATACGCGTAAGCATTGTGCTCGCATAATATAATAACACCACAACTGCACTGAGTATACGTAACGTATACTTCAGGACGCTTCCGTTTAAGGACATATAATAATAATATATAACAATACATACAGCCACTGGCTAGAGTGTTATTGGGGCCGACTCCAACTTTGGGACGACAGCACAGTCGGTTATGCTATAATAATAACAGTAAAACAATAGTAATATTATATTTACGTGTTGTCCAAAAAACGCAAACGTCGAATCCGGCCGGAGTGAATGACGCATATTGTGTGTACACTACTACAATGTAATAGTGTACCTATTATACGATATCATGATAATAATATACGGTCGCGAGAAAATGTGTTGAGCACTGCAAACGCTAAATAATATATTATAATAAGTTTTAACTTATAACGTTGTAGATATTTTGTAGTCGATACTTTTGACGAGGAAATAATAAATGCCTATTATATATGTCACACCTGCGATGGTAATTTGTGCCTCTTATATGCAGATATATATTATACATTAACATGTATTAAATACATTTTTGACCCATTTCTTACCTTCTCGAATAATTATCAACTAATTTAGGGGTGGGGGGGGGTACTTTATACTCGATTTGAATTATTGTGATTGCTCCATCGACAAATAAATATTGTTATACCAACATAGGAAACGGATTTGTACGTAAAGGTTAAGTCAGGTTTATTTACCATAGGTATCAATATTTTCTACGGAAGTACACACTTTTTCAGTGCAAATGTTTACACTACAGCGCTTTCGTATTGTGCAATTTTTTATTATTTTCATCAACGCATATTTAATGATTTATTTTAAAAAGTCAATTTAAAGAGAACAATGTGGCCAATTCAAACCAAATATCGGCCTTATTCTGAGGCAGTGGGGCACTGGAACAGATAAAATGAATAATATGCATGTCTTCTAATATACACTCATATGTACGATGTACCTATGGGCACGAGACATAGCACATGTCCCATTTTCACAAACTTAAATTCTAAACCATGTCGTGAAATTAAAAATCAGAATTAGGTATTAAAATATTGTTAACACATGTGTTGCACATGCTGCAGCTTTGATGACGATGTACAGGGGCATGTTTTTTAGAAGCAATTGCTTCTGGTTTCAGGGGGGTGGTGGTGGGTCATAACCTCATAAAGCCCACATACACGGTCAGTCTTTGAACTTAATTTTGGATGCTACCCGACCCCTCTATTTGAGCATAAGAGTATCGTATACATCAGTTGGAGTTGGGTGGGGTAGGTCATAAATAATTTGTCTGCTTCCATATGATTTAAAGTTAGCTACGCCACTGACGATGTATATTCTTTTTAGTATAGTTTTATTTCTTTTTTTCTTATTTCACTAAAATAATAAATTTAATTGAAATATTATGTATATATTTGTAGTATATTTTGTATAAGTATATTATATTTTATCCATTTGGAATATTATACAAATCGGAGATTTAGAGAATATTTTAGTGGTTACATTTGGCGTCGTAAATTACTTGAGGAATTTAATAATGATAGATAAATAAATGTTTCTAAGAATTATAGGAATTCTGCAATACAATAGTTTAAATGTACAAAATTCAAATAACAAGGAATTTCTTAAACATTTTTAGGAGTTATAAGCAACTTATTTTTACAAAAATAATATATAGTCATTAATCACCTATTTAAAGACAGCTGATTTGGTCGATCGTAATTATCGTGTCAAATGTTGGAAATCGTTTTCATAATAATAAGAAACATTTTATAAATGTGTATTATTCATTATTTAAATAAAAATTTTTTTAAATAACTTCGATATCCTATGAATTATAATAAGTTGTGTAATCAATACATTTTTTTTGTAAAAATTGCTCAACAAAGTGTTCATAAAACAGTTAGGTACCCTAAAAATTATTATTAGTTATAGCTGGAAATTAAAACTTTACAGAAATATAATCTATAAAATATCAGTTGTAAATTACAATTATTATTACTTCCCAGGATTCATAAACTTTTTTATAATCTTATTACCTAGTTATTTTATTTTTAAGCTAAGTATGACTTAGGTACAAATTGCAAAACTTATTGGATAGTTATTACCTAATCAAAATATAATAGTTGAAAGTGATATTGAACATTCAAAATGTATTAAGAGTCAAGGCATATATATTATATATGTCACATTTTCTATCTTATTTACCTATGGCATTATATTATTTTTGGTTTTAGTGATCAAAGTACAGACAATAATAATAAGAGTTAATGAATACGGACATAATTATAATTGATTATATTATATTCCGTATCAGGGACATTACCTACTGCATTAGTTATTATTAATAAATTTAATATGTATTAACACTGTTCTAAATAACGATAAACTCAAACTTGTATAACGTTTTAATTCTAAATAACGATAAATAAACCCAAATATTGTGTAAAATTTTAATTGTAATTAACATATAAAAAGGAATTTTGCTTTCAAATGAGAGCCTTGTTATAAATGTATTTATTTAACTGTGAGAAATTTCTTACTGCGTGGTTGAGGAGTGGGAAGGAAGTTCGTATACCAACATTTATAAATAATAACAAAAATAAATAGAATTAAGTATATGTTTTTTTATAATTTGGTTTTTTTCAAATTTTAACAAAATAGTTTACTTGCCGAAAACGCCAACTGCGGAATGGCTAAAACATTACATACTCACATTGTCCGAAAAGGGATAAGATTATTTCAATTTTACTAAAGTCGATTCTGTCCAAAAAAAATCATTAAATCACAATTGCGAACGTTTTTTAAGAATAAATAGACCGTCGAGATTACCTTAAAACTAGGTAACACGATGGCATACGATTTTCTGTGCAATGCTGCCGTGTATATTTATAGCACCATAAGGTCACTTTAAATATTTAAGACTTAATTTAATTATGTGATTTCACGAACCTTGGATGGCAAACTTGTTGAACACCCGATGGAATTTGGTGCCGGCGTAAGTGCGGCCGTCAATGCCTGCCGTCAGAATCGTGACAAAGTTGGCCACCGTTTTCGGAGCGATTTCGCCAAAAAGACCGATCTCGATCGTACCCAACTCGGTGCCGGCCACTTCCACATCCAAGTACGCCACGTCGGTCACCGTGAACGTCTGAAGGTCCTATACATATGTATTACCAGTGTGTTATTATGAATGTATATAATATATTATCCACTATTACGCTTGCCGACTGTAAACGTGACATAGGTATGGTTCACACTTGCAGGTTAATTATTTAGTGTTGGACAAAGAAACTACAATTAACAGCAGATAATTAAATAGTTTATCAGGACTAAAATAATTATAATCGTTAAATATTGATACAATTTAAGAATAGGTAATTATTTATTTAATTTGTCAATTCTAAATAAAACGATTATGATGAAGACGGTATATTGATATGTTGAAATATAAAGGTTTGACGACGATTAGTGAAATTGATTAACTAGCATTATCCACAATTAGTTTTGTTTAGATTCATTTTTATTAGTTACAAAATTATTTTAGATTCTGAGTGAAACGATGAATGTATTGATTTTACAATGATGTGTGTATTTTTTTTTTTAATTTTTATTTATTTATTTATTTTTTTTTGTGTCTGTCATCACGTTTTAGGACAGTAAAAGTGCTTTGATTTTCTTCAACAGTAGCTTTTCTGATAGGAAAGTGAATCTAGTTGGTACTTTGTGTGGTCAAAAGTGAAAATTTCACAGTAGTTTTCAAAAGCGGCGTGAAAAACAAAATAAAAATTAAGGAAAAACTGGAATTTTTACACTAAAATCGGTTTTTGATTTATTTTGAACTGTTTAGGCACATTTTCATTTTCCATTTTTTTTTTAGTTTTTTTTCTAAAAATATCAATAAAATTTTATTTGTTGGTTAAAAAAGCTTGAAACTTTAATACAAGGCTTCTACTATATGGTTACAATGGCATTTGAAAAATATTAAAAATCCTTAGTCACAGTTTTTTTTATAAGCATTTAAAGTTCAAAAATTGACAAAATATGGAAAAATCACGAAAATTAGCAAATTATTTTGAGTTAAGAATTCGTAAAAATTTTTCTTTTTAAATCTAAGGTTTTAAAATGTATACAAGATTTCTTACAAGTTTATCTACCTTTATCAAAAAAAGAAATGTCTATAAGAAAGTCAAATTAAATTTTTATGGGCGTTTGAAATTCAAATTTTACTACGTTGGTTATTCGCTCGATTTCTCTTGTAGCGGTTTCCTTATTTTGTTGTAATTATTCAAAAAAGAATAACTGTAGATACATGAAAATTTCACTGAATATTTATATTAACATTTCCTATACACCAATTTTGAAAATATTTTGACTCTTTTTGAGCTGTTTACGGACATTTTCAGTTTCCAAATTTTTTAGTTTTTTATTCTATAAATATCAATAAAGTTTTATCTGTTGGGCCAAAAAGTGTAAAAATGTAATACAAGGCTCCTGATGTATTGTTACAATATCAGTTGAAAAATATTAAAAATAACTAGTCACAATTTTTTTATATAAGCATTTAAAGATCGAATTTTGACAAAATGTATCAAATTTAAAATTGAATAATTATTTTGTGGTTAAAAATATATAAAATGTTCAACTTTTATATCTAAGGATTGAAAATTTAGAACAAGATTCCACGTAAGTAGTTAGTTAATTCTGTTACCAAAAAATCTAAAAAATACATAAACACAGTTTATTTTTATAGTCATTTTAAGTTCAACTTTTAACAAAATTACATAAAAAAAACCTAGAATAACTATTTTAGTTATTTTGTTGTGATTTTGTAATATTATTCGTGGGTACTTGAAACTTCTAAAGTACACCATTATAGTATTATATATCTATGGAGTGTGGGCAATGATAGTATCAGGGTTTGTTGTTGACGTATAACGCATTATAAGTACCCAATGGATATTGTGATATGATTAATTTGGAATTTATTATAGGTACCTATTTTATGTAAATTTTTTTTAATACGATAGATGAGTATATAATATGTCTTATACCTAGACTGACATACCGTCTCCTCTCAGAATCTTATACAATGATATTATATCATTGAATTCAAATGTAATACTATCCATGATACAGTGACCCACTTTTAACCTACTGTACAGCAGAGCACCTTTTTTTAAGTTTATTCAATAAAACTCATGACCTTAATCAAATGTAATTTACTATGAATTTATAGATAGGTATAATCCTTTAATTCTCATAAACTTTAATCATTGGTGGTCAATCGTTGAGTTTTTGGCCCACCACTATGTTTAGTGTGTTCAATTCCCATACATAAGTTATACAATACCTTAACTCATCCCCTCTAGACTGGTCAACTGGGAAAGTATATTACTTTAATAGTTGTAAGTTAAAGTAAGTTTGATGATGGGTTGAATAGAATCAACAATAAGTTATTATAAATTAATTTTTTATAAAAAAAAAACCTCTATCATTACTAAGAAGTAAGAACAAAACTGTAACAATTTAACAATTATTTGCGATTTTTTAACATACGTAAACATTTTTAAACTTACAAATTATAATGAATGCATAATAATTGTGATTATGCATAATAATAATTGTATAAATTATTTTTCATGATAATTTTTTTTTTTTTTGCTATTGTTACAACATCAACTACATGGTTATTAGCTTACAGTTATTGATATATTTTTGTTTATTTATAAAACTATTGAAACAAATAAATTACATAGAATAATTATTAAATTAATATTTTATCAATGTGATTGTGCAACTTTCCTGCAGTTGTTCATTATAGGTACTATATTACAATACCTCCACCAATTTATTTTTGTGGGTTGGAGTCCGTCGTAAATTATTAAACTATGTATATTGTATGTGATTTTATAAATTTTTAACTACCATGCCAATATGACATTATTATCTTTTTAAAATTATAGAGTCCATTATTAATTATCAACTATGCATATTGCATATTATATGTGTTTTTATTTTTTTTTCTGCAATTGACAATGCACTTACATTACTATACTTGATTAATTTACCTATAGATCCATACTATAGAACGATATTGTTGGTAGAATAAACAATAGCCCAAACAGACCACGCACTTTGGGTCGATACTTGAGTTGTCAAATGGTCGACGAGAGGGCCACCTACCAGTTTCCTATGTAGGTTGGTGCCTACATATTTCCCACGAGGCTAGAATTTTCGCACTAAAAATGAGTAGGTTACACCGATACCCTCGAAGAGGTAACGATGTGGGTAAGCTGTATATACTCGGTGTCTCGGTAAACCGCATATATTATTATGACCAACGCGGTAACATAAAATCATCATCATCATATTCAGTGCTTAAATAATTGGGAAACATATAAAAGGGGGTTCCAAAAGCACAGTCGAAAAGAACTCTGCGTTTACCTAAATGCCTCATATTGATTAGGAATTATGATCCTAAATTAGAATGGGTAAGCACGAAGATAGTGTAATCTACCTGCCCATCTATTTCCGGCAAGTCGAGAGTTTTCGTACCAAGTACCGGTACACACAAATATATATTTTTTTTTAAAGATGGTCTCCGTTCAGCCACGTCCCCTCTCCAATCAAGCACTGAATTTATACATTTATATTGTACTTACGCCCGCGCGGCATCCGCCGACGACGATCGCCAACAACGCGCACACGACCACATGAAAATTGAAAACCATCTTTTGCACGCCGCAGAGAGGTGTCGAAGGAGGAGACGACGACAATAATTAATATTATTATTAATATCGTGCACGATGTGTGCTGGACGACGGACGAGACCGAATGTGTCCGTGTAACGTACCTATTATCGTGTAAGGTGATTATCGGTTTTCTACGGATTCCTCTATGTATATGTTCCAATCGAAGGGATAGAATTACAGCGATTGCACATAAATACGACACACCACCGTCCACCGATACCACTACCACCACAACAACAGCAACAACCACAACAACAAGAACACACGCCGGGCACGTAAACGTATAATGCAGCAGGACTATATTTTATTATAATGTTATTATATTTATATACTTTAAACAGTCTATAGTAAAAACATCAAACGTTTTTTTTTCGTTTCCATAATAATAATAATAATAATAATTATACCATAAAATAAGAACATAATAATAATATCGCGTTGTACAATATATAATATAATATACGAGGATGGATATTTATATATATATAGTTACCGCTTATAACATAAATACTACTTTAACTCTTTAGAATAATAATAATAATAATAATAATATTATATTATATTATAGTAATAATGATAATAAATGTTAGAAATATAGTTGTTGATTACTCTGAACAATATTAACTATAAATAATAAAAATAATGATGAAATAAAATAATAATAATAATAATAATAATAATATAATAATAATGCAAATAATAGTAAATAAAGAAACAAAATAAACACAATCAATATAATATGAAAACAACGTTTGGAAATGATACATCTTTAAATTCTTTAATTATTTATATTTAAAAAAAAAATTATATAATATTAAAACATGATCGATTCTAACATAATATTACATCGTATTACATAAAAGTATCGTTCTGACACATATATATGTAAACGGTATATTAAAATATTTAAATTTTATAGTAAACATAGATAATAATAATCATGATAATTATCATCATCGTAATCATAATAATAATAATAATAATAGTTAATAATATAGTCGCATTATGAGGGGATGTATACGAAGAATAATAGAGTCGTCGTCTTACAGTATAATAACCGTTACAGTTTGCAACAGGTTGTTCGTCAACGTCGTGGTTATATTATTATTATGTAGGTATAATATAACAATATTATAATATATTTTATAGGATCGCGATCGTCGGCGAGTTGTAAGCATATACGTTCAAATATAATGATAAATGATAATATAATAATAAAAATTTAAAATAATAATAATGATAATAATAATAATAATAAAAGTGTAGTACAACAATCGTACGATTTCGGGGGCTCGTTACACGTCACCTAAGTGACGGTCGCCGTCTTGGCGTTTTCCGTGTTGCACTTGTATTCTGTGCTGTTCCGGCAGTAGTACTTTTTGTGCGCAATGAATGTGGACAGATAGTTGAACGATATGTCGCACGCCTTGCAGTATTTCGCTGTCATGCCTGTCCGCTTGTTGCCGCCGGCTGTCTGCATCTGCAGCTGCGGAGTAGGCGGCGGTCGCGCGAGCTGTTGCTGCAACAGGTCGTCGGTCGCAGCGGCCGGAAGTTCGTGCTGCTGCTGACGGTAGGCGCCTGTGGCCAATTCTTCCATCGTCGGCGGCGCGGCCATGCCGTTGATCGGTTCCTGCTTGACGACCACCAATTCTTTCGGCTCATCGTCCACCATGAGGGTGGCGGCCACGGCTGTGGACGACGAAGACGACGACGGCGAAGGCGACAACGATGACGACGAAGCCACGGCTGCGGCAGTCTTGACGAGAACGGTGGACGGCCCAGACGGCTTGTCCGCGGAATCCAAAGTGGTCGGCGTTTTGGAGCGTCCGTCGACCATCGATGACGCCGAGTTCTCGTCGATCAAGCACGTCACGTAATCTTCTTCCTGCACACACAAAAAAGTCAAATTTGTCAGACTTTTTAAAAAATGTTTCAACCGTGGTATAAAATAATATATAGGACTATAGGGGAAAACCTTGTCCGAGTTTAGGGGAGGGCGCAAGGGGTCTTCACATAATGGGAGGTTTTTAATGTTGTCAAAACCCTACTGAATATGGTCGGTATTCAGTACGGACAGTTGTTATGATTTTACCAAATTAAATTTTGAAAGTTTAATATAAATATTATATCATTAGCCTAGTATAATTAATTATTTTAACATAATATATTACATTGCACCAATATTATAAACATATGTTTGAAAAATATTGGTCACCACTAAGGATGGACCTTACCGCCTTGGGTAGTCTCAAGGATTCATAAATCCGGCTCTGGAGAAAACTATCACCATATAAGGTAGGTGGTATCTTTGTAATAATTTATAAACATTAAAAACGAAAATATTTATTTTAAAAAGCCCCACAATGAAGACTTAAAGATTTAAAAATAATTAATTTCATCTCTAAATGTAACTTATTATCCATACAATTAAATACATTGAAAACTGCAGTAGTCACAAAATTAGTTGCAAATACTATGCTAATTGTTTATGTTAATCTAATTGTATACATCTACAAATGTAGGCTACTAACCATTTAGTTATATAATTGAAGCCTTAAAACTTAGAAAATGGGTAAATAAAAAATAGTTTATATACGAATACGTAATTATTATATTAAGTATGATTGAAAGTGATGATGATATACTTTTAAAATAACTATTTTATTTTACTAACTTATTGGAATTTTATAACATTGGTTTCACTCGGAAACGGTATAATATAAGTGTCAGACTAAATAGGCAGCCATAAATAGGTCAGCAGAACTTCATATTTCTTTAAAATTGCTAATACTTAATAATATTATAATAATATTGTAAGTTACTATGGTAATATATTAAGCGTACTGGTTATCGTGCATATACCTCCTATTGAGAGATTTTTTTTTTTCGCGAAATCATCAATCACTTAATAGTCAATACCTATTAAATGATTGGTATCTTTATATCTCATATTATATTTTCGCGAATAGAACGATTTGTGATCTATGCACTTGAACAATTATTAGACGGAACATAGTTATTTTTTTTTAATATGTATAACACATACGATATTTACAACGTCCTAAAAAAATCATTCATAAACAGAAAAATGTTTACTAGGGGTGGGAAAAAAATGTCACCCTTCAGGTGCTATGGTGTATATCCATCCCTGCGGGTTTCTACTTTAAATACACGTATATACATTATAGGTATAAGTATGATATTTAAAGTGATTCTAATGTCTTAAATATAATATACTAACGTTTTGCATAAAACGCAATCATATTATAAGGAGCGGCAAACATTTTTTTTTATCTCAACAAACAGGAACTTGGCCAGTAATGACTTTAATAAGTAGGATGATGGAGGTATTAAAAAAACGAAGCGCTCGGAAAACGGCTCGTCGGGATGCCTCACCATGAGATCCGGAATCATCCGCTTGTTGAAATGCATGCGGATGTGAGTTCTGAGACCCCTAAGCGTGTTGCCCTTGTACTGGCAGATGGTGCACACGAACGCCCTTATGCCGTTGTGGTTGTCCAAATGCTTCTGAGCGGCCGACGCGCTGGAGCACACGGCGCCGCACACCGGACACTTCCAACAGTTGACCGGCTGACACTGATGGTGATGTGTCCCGTCGACGATCATCTGCGGAAAACGTTTGTGGTTAAAGCACATATAATTGAATACGTCATATTACATAATGGATAGGTAGGGTACTCTAATGGGTTAATTTTATACTGTCATCTGCTGCAGTATAGGCATCGTCCCGGGCCTTACTCTATACATATAAGGGGTATGTATATATCATTGTATCAAGAATTGCCGATTAAATTACATTTTGGGGGACCACATATCAGGAATTTGGAAAATTTTGGGGACCATAAAAATTAAACACACGCTATCCAAAGAAAGTGTAACGGAAAGATTAAAAAACTAAAAGAAAACCTACATAATTTAATTCGCCAGAAAAAAAATTTTTTTTGAGGGCCTTCGGATGGAGTTTATTATAATTTACTGGTGATCCCTGCTTTATTTGGTACGGGGACGAAATGTCTATTATAGCCTACAGGCCCAATTTTACTACCAAAAAAATACTTTATTGTACAGTTGGCTACGAAAACAGAAATGGTTGACAAGACAATATTTTTGCTTTTGGGCTAGGATACGGGCAATCGAATCACGACTTGGCCAATTCCTGAAGCAGCAAATGTCGGCCGTGCGCAAGGAATTCGAAAAATTAGACGGTGATCGAATATCGTTTTCCCTTTGATACCCCTCACCTAATCTCAAATAAATAACCTGACACACTTACTTTGCACTTTGGACACTTTGACGGTGGCGGTGCCACCTTATTATCTGCCGCCGGTTCCTGCACGGCAGTCCTGTTCGGGCAGTAGAAAGTCTGGTGCGTAGTGAGATTGTCGTATGACGAGAACTTGACGCCACACGTGGAGCATATAAACTGGATCATGGGTGGCTTAAGCAACGGCGTGGGGCTGACGCTGTCCTTGGACGACTGCGGTGACGACACAGTCAGCGGCTTGGGCCCTGGTGACCCTTCGGGGCTCGTCTTGTCCACGTCACCGTCTCCGCCGTCCGGTGGAGGGCGGGATGCGCAGTAGTGCTTCTTGTGGGCCAGAAAATTCTCGTACTTGCAGAACACGATGTTGCAGCTCTCGCACTTGGACGGGCCCTGTTTCAAGTAGAACTGATGGTGCGCGGGTGGCATTCCACCACCGCCGCCATCCTGCGCCGAGTTCGGGTTCAGTCGGAGCGTCATGTCAGGCGCAAAATACGGCAACACGGCAGCCGGGCTGAGAAGTTCGCTGAGGCCACGTGGCTGGACGCCGGGTGGCATCGGGGCCAGCAGCGACTTGTGCATCGCGCTGAACCTGCGGTGCGCGGCCGGCAAGTGGTGCATCTGCACGTGGTGAGGCGGCTCGCCGTTGTTGACCGGTTCCTGCTTGACGCCGTCCTGCAGCCGGCCGCCGGATGCG